ATGCCTCGCCGGTCAAGCCGACGAAGATGCACAAGCTCCAGCCGTTCGTTGATGTGCAAAGTTTTGGTTTGACGCCGGGTGTAGCGTATCAAGTGCAGCTTGACCGAACAGGTTGGTTGCGCCCTTTGACGTCCGTTTGGGGTGCTCTGCAGACCTGACCCCCCAGGCCTATTCAAGGGACAGTGGATTATTGTCGGCGCCATCCCAACATGCTTAGACTATATTATATATAATATGTGTGCGTCGCCCCCTCAGGGGCGACGCGCGCACCGAGAAGTCTTCTAGTATATGCTCTGTGGCGGGCACTCTCTGGCCACACGGCTCTGGGAACGATGCGCCACAAGATGGGCATACTCTATGTTCGGGCCGGACGCGCGCCTCCAGGGAGAACATTTGGTATTCTTGTGTCCTTGTGCGGCCCAGCAGATCTCGTCGCCCCAAGGGAGCGGCCGCCCCCCCTTCCCCCCCCTCTCTCTCTGCCGCGGTCGGAGGAAGAGGAGGAAGAGGAGGAGGAGGAGGAGGAGGAGGAGAAGGAGGAAGAGGAGGACGAGGAGGAGGAGGAGGAGGGGAGGAGGAGGAGGAGGAGGAGGAGGCGGCGGAGGAGCAGGAGGAGGGGAAGAAGGAGGAGGAGGAGGAGCAGGAGGAGGCGGGCCGGAGAAGGGGCATGAGGAGGAGGTGGAGGAGGAGGAGGAGGAGGATGAGGGAGGAGGAGGAGGAGGGGAGCTAGGAGGAGGTAGCCGGCGGGGTCGGGGGACGAGGAGGTGAGGAGGAGGAGGGGAGAACGCTCTCTCTCTCTGCCGCGGTCGGTGGCCGCGCTTCGAGGCCGGAGGCTCGACGCTGGCCGTAGAGAGAGGAGAACGAGAGAGCCTCTCCTCTCTCCTCTCTCCTCCTCCTCCTCCTCCTCCTCCTCCTCCTCTTGCTCTTCCTCCTCCTCCTCCTCTTTATCTCGTCTCCTCCTCCTTCTCCTGTTCCTGCCGCCCTCTCCGCCCCCCCCTGCCGCTCCTCCCGCTCCGCCCCGATCTCCCCGTGCTCCGGCTGCTGCCCTGGTCGGCCCTCCCTGTTGGCCCGAGCAGCGGCCTCGCTCGGCCGCGGCCGGGCGATCGTCTTCTCACTCGCTGCCCTGCCAATTGGCGCGGGCCCTCGCACCCCGTCCCCTCCTCCTTGTGATGTTCCAACCTACTTTTAGCCTGGATCACCAGAAATATTCTCGAGCGCCAGGAAAAAAAGCACCGAAGCTCGATGGTTTTCACGTGTCGGGCCCTGGGAGGCACTCGTTCGACACTCTTTTGCCACTCTTTCGGCACTCTTTCGACCCTTTTCTGGGTGCTCGAACATATTTCTGGGATGTGGTTCTTCTTAGGTACGACGGGAGCAACATAACCTCCCCCCCCCTGTGGAGTAGCTGCTGGCTGCTTTTGGTGCCTGTTCCGAGCGCGTGGAGCCCCGCCGCCAGAGGGCGCGCCGTCGCAAACGGCCGCGCGAAGCAGAGGTCGGAAGCCGGGTCCCCCCCGTCCCCCCCCCCACTCTTCCGCCCAGCGTCGAAACGCCGAGCAGGACAACGCTCACCAGGGGAGGGGAGGGGGGGAGGGGGGCTGCGGGATTCGCCAGCCGCGCGCGCACGCATCCCACCCCCTCGCCAGCCCCGCGGGGGCCGTTGGTGCCCCGGCGAGCGCTGGCGGGCGTCCCGCTCCACGCCCCTGGCCGGTGGGGGGGGCGTCTCGCTCTGCTCGCTGCGCGACTGGGCGCTGCGCGCGCGTGCGCGGGCTGGCGTCTCTCGCGCGGGTGACTCGCCAGGGCGCCCTCGTCGCCACTGCTCCAGCCCGGCCGAGCGCCAACGAGGACTGCCGCGGCTGCGGGGCCTCGTCTCGTGAGCGCCTGGCGGCCCGCGGGTGCCGCAGCGCCTTTGGCCTGCGAGAGCGCCGCGTCGCTAGGAACTGCAAACCGCCGATGTTTCTAATCTGCGATGTCGTCATGCTGAGTTGTAAGGCGTTCCTCCCTGATGATCTCAGCGAATGGGAACCTCATCTTCGCTGGCGACCAGCAAGCGAGGCGTGCTCTGGCGAGGCGTTTCGACCCGTTCGTGGCGCGCTTGGATCTTCGAGGCGCGAGTGGCCCGTCGGCGTATTGCCGCGCGTCTCGCCAATGGCCCTCGCGAAGGAGTTCAGCTGTTTGAGTCTGTTGTGGAGTCGTCTCCGAGGGGGGGAATTTATGCATGACCACCGCCTGGAGGATCAATTTTCGGGGACCTCGGCGGGCGGTGGATATGGACATATTCGGGCCCCCGGGGGCTAAAAAATGTATCCATATCCACCGCCCGCTGGGGCACCAGGACGTCGGTTCCCAGGCGGTGGATATGGATAGATACCCGCCTCGCATCGTTGGTCGTCATTTATGTTCTTTGCAATCCTATAGCAGATTGTGTCCAATCTTCCCGCGCCGCCGCCGAAGAAGATCTTCCCCATCACGCTGCGTAGATGCAGTGGTTTTCGGGAACCCATGCCATCACGGAGATCCCGTAGCCTGTGGCGGGAAGTAGGTATGTGCGCACCGCCCTGATTCCCTCTTCTCCCGCCCCTTCGTTCGTCTCGCCCTCCCTCTCTTGCGCACCTCCCTCTCTCTCCTTTCCCCTCTCTCTCTCTCCCTCTCTTTCCTGCGCCTCCTTGCTCCCTCTGTTTCCTCCCCCTCTCTCCCTCACTCCGTCCCTCCCTCCATTCCCTCTCTTTCTCGCTTCCGCCCCCGCCTCTACCTCCGGGTCCCTTCTCCCCCCCCCCTCTGCACGCTGGGCCCCACTAGTCTTAAGTCGGGTCTGTCCCTCTACAGGAGGAATATGCAAAAATAGTTGAACAATGGTCTGGGGACCATCTTAAGAGTACTTTGAAGTTTTTTTTTTTTTTTTGTTTGTTTTTGTTTTTTTTGTTTGTTTTTGTTTTGGGGGTGTTTTTGTTGAAGTCTTTGTCCAAACTCCCCCCGTAGGGGACATGCCCGGCCTGACCCGGCTGGTCGCGTGGCGGGGGCATGCGACGTTTGGGGCAGGCGCGAGGCCATCGTGCAGCTGCAGGCCCCTCCCCCGCGCCTGCCGCCTGCCGGTCTGGCGCCGCAGAGCTGCTGCCGGGAGAGCGGGCCTCAAGCAGTGGCGAATGCGTCTTGGCTCGCCTGTAGTCCTACCAAACACTTTTCTAAGAACCTTTTGTGGTTCCCACGCGACGTTCTTAGAACATTTCTGGCGGAATCTGTCTTGTTTTATCGCATCGGGCTTATGCTCTAAAAACATTGTTCTTGTTCTGAGAACATGTTGTCGGGGCCGGCAAAGAGGGGGGTGATGACTAGGGGGGGTGGCTATCATGGCGGGGGCCATGATGTTTCCCCAGATTTCATGGCGCCTCTTCTTGTCTCATTACGTCCCTGGCCCCCCCGCTTGGCCGCGCACATGCCGCCGATCATGATTTGCACCCCCCCCTCTTGAACACCCCCCTCTTGGCCGCTTCCGATTTTTGTGGTTCCCACGAAATGTTTTTAGAACATTTCTGGCGGAGTCTTTCTTGTTTTATCACATTGGGCTTATCTTCTAAGAACACTGTTTCTGTTCCTAGAACATATTTGGGTTCTGAGAACAATTCGTTGTAGGACTATAGGAATGCCGGGACGGTCGGTTCCTGCTCAAGGATGGGTGAAGGAGGGCTGTGGTGGGGGAGGGTGGAGGGCACGAGTCGGAGGAGGACATGGTACCCATGCCGCTGCCCTCCCCTGGTCTTCCCCTTTTTGGGGCCTCCTGGGCCTCCCGTCGTCGCCACCGCTGGATTAGCTTTGAAATCCGGGTCTGAGCGCACCCCAGGAGTAGGAGAGGTCCGGGGAGTAGCGGTTTCGGTGGTACCTTTTGGTTTCCCCAGTGTGGGGGAGGGTGGAGGGTAAGAGGAGAGGGTGGGTGGGCTAGGTGGATGTGGGGGCCAATGGCGATAGGAGGGTATGGCGTACGGGTGTACGCGGGAGGCGCCACGGGGGAAGGCATGGGGGAGACGAGAGGAGGTGGAGCGGGGAAGGAATGGACGGGCAAGGGACAGCGAGGGGGTGCAGGGAAGGGGAAGAGGAAGGGGAAAAGGAAGGGAACGGGATGGGGCTGGTACGGGAAGGGAAATGGGAATGGTAATTTATTCTTGACGCATCGCGCATCCCCACCAGCCCATCCAAAATGGACGCTCAGGCGAGTTGAGACGATCATGGAAGCGTAGGCGCAAAATGGGAGGCAGTCGTTATCGTTCGAGGGAGGGGGAGGACTACCAGATGGTGTCCGGAGCAGATGGGGTCGGAGGATCGCGCCGCATCGCCAATGCACCGCCGATGCATCGGCGATGAGTCGGCGACGCTGGCGATGCGTCGGCGCAGTTGGCGTGGAGAGAATCGGGCTCCCCATCGAGCCGCATCGCCGATTTGTCGACGATGCGGCGCGATCCGCCGACCCCATGTGCTCCGGCCCCATCTGGGAGGCCCGGGATGTATTGCTCCACTCTATGTGCCACTCCACCATGCCCGTGTACAGTGTGCAGTGGGAACCCATGCCAAGAAACACCCTGCTTGCCTACAGGGTGCCCTGGGTTTCTTGGGTCTCGGTGGTTCTGCTGCAGGAAGCGCGGCGCCCCGCCTCCAGATATCCATGGACGTCCTGGGGTCTCAGGGTTGGGTTTCCTGTGGAAGGTCTCTCGTGGTCGAGCTCCTCGCAGGAATGCTTCTTGTGGAAGGTGCCTTGCGGAAGGCCTTTCTCGTGGAAGGCTCCTCTGGAAGCCCTCCCAGGGTCAGGTCTCTCGTGGAAGGGCTTCTTGTGGAGGGCTTCTTGTGGATTGTTTCTTGGTGCATTTTTCCTTCGGCGAGGACCATCGAGGAGCATCCTTGATCATTTGGCGAAAAAGCCACGCACGAAGCCGACAAAAAGCACCGGGAATGGACGTCCGAGCGATGGCCAGTTGTTCCACTCCAGAATCCCCCCGTGCACGTCCCCCCGGCTGGAGGTCTGGGCACGCGCCAGCGGAGCGGCCGTGGTGCCTCTGCTTCGGCCCGCTCGCGCCGCGCCCCGAGGCCTGCGGGAGCGCCGCGGCCTTCGCGGCGAGGCTCGCCGAGCTGCTCGCCCAGGCCCCGGCCCCGGCGGGCTCCCGCCCTCTCTCAGGAGGAAAAGAAACACACAGACACAATTCATCCTGGATTCCCCAGAAAATATAGGGAAATATGGGAAGGGGGCGGGAAGACAGAAACCCCGAAAATACAGGAAAAATATGGGGAATCTTCTTATTTCTGTGTATCTATTTGTGTGTCCTTGGGCCCCTTCACTCTCCGAGGAGCCTCGGGATCGGCGAGGAGGGGAGTGATGGTTGGGAGGGGGGTGAGCACGGCAGGCTCGCGTCGCGTCGGCGGGCGGCGACCCCGCCGCCAGCGTTCGGAGTGGAGCGCCGCCGTCGGCCGGTGCTGAGCGACGTCACGTCTCGGAAGCGGCCGATCGTTCCAGGGTTGGACTCAGGAGGGAAAAAAAACACACAAACACAAGGAATCGTCGACTCCGAGGAAGATGTGGGGGAACATGGGAAGTGGGGGGGGGGGAAGACAGAAACCCAGAAGATATGGGAGAATAGGGGGGGATGCTTTTAGCTGTGTGTCCTTCTCTGTGTGTCCTGGGGCCCCGTCAGTTGAACGTGCCCCCGCGGTGTCGGGAGCCAACGCCGGGGGTCGGCGCGACGCGAACCTGCCGCGCGTTTCCTGACTCCCCCCCCCCTGGGCTGCCCGCGCGCCTCGGGCTGCTCCTCCTCCTCCTCCTCCTCCTCCTCCTCCTCCTCCTCCTCCTCCTCCTCCTCCTCCTCCTTCCTCCTCCTCCTCCTCCTCCTCCTCTCCTCCTCCTCCTCCTCCTCCTCCTCCTCCTCCTCCTCCTCCTCCTCCTCCTCCTCCCCCCCTTCGTGGTCGCCCCCCTCTCTCGCAGGCCTGAAGTTTGACACCAAGACCCTACATCGGCGGTGTGCCTCCACCGAGGGAAGAAGATCCCGATCTCGGTGACGGTGGTTTTATTCTGGCTTCCAAGGGGATCGAAGTATTGCCACCAACACCGATTTCTGGGATCATCTTCCCCCTGTGGAGGCAACCCCCCTGTGTTGGTGTTGGTGCCAAGTTCTGGGCCTCCAACTCTTGGACGTCCCCGGGAAGCGTGGGCCCCCGTGCGCGTGGTGACCACACCGTGCGGCGAGACGGTGGGGCTTCGGTGCGGTTGCAGACGTCCCCCTCCAGGGAGCCCACATGGGGTGTCCGCCACCTACCATGCTGCTCCCTCTCCTCCTTCCCTGCTCGTCCCCGTTCCCGTCCTCCAGCGATGGAGGACGACGATGAGGAGGACGAGGAAGACCAGTTTAAAACCCAAGACGCATCAACGATGTTGCAACAAACCCTCCCTCGAAGCTCACTCTTCATAGATCACTTATTTTCAGTGGGGGAAGCGGCCCATGGAAAGACAACCGTCTGAGAATCCTTGGACCTCAACGCCGCGAATCACCGTGACTGTTGCGTCCTGGCAATTCAAACCGTGTCAGAACACAGCGTCTGGGACTTCAACACCACGAACCAGCGTGACAGTTGCGTGCTGACATTCCTAATTCGCGCCAGAACACTCTTTTTGACGCTTCGCGTATCCCCACCAAGCCAGACAAGATGCCCAGGCGAGTTGCCCTGACGAGGGAAGTGACGCAATATGCAGTGGAACAACGAGTGAAGGGAGACGATATATCCCTTCGCGGTTCCTTCCACGGGGAAGGAACACAAGGTGGTGGATGATCAGGGAGGATCGAGATGCTTATTCTGATGATGGCGATGGCGGTGACGACGGAATGATGACGATGATGACGATGATGAAGGTGATGATGATGCTGATTATGCTGATGATGTTGATGATGATGCTGATGCTGATACGGATGCTGATGATGATGGGTGATGATGATGGTGATGTTGGTGATGATGCTGATGATGATGCTGATGATGATGATGATGATGATGCTGATGATGATGATGATGATGACGATGATGGTGGTGGTCGTGAAGATGCTGCTGATGATGAGGGTCATGATGAAGGTGATGATGGTGGTGGTGATGATGATGTTGATGCTGCTGATGATGCTGATGCTGCTGATGCTGATGCTGTTGCTGATGCTGTGCTGATGCTGCTGCTGCTGATGATGATACTGATGATGATGACGATGATGATGATCATCACGATGGCGATAATGCTGATGATGCTGATGACGACGATAACGATGACGATGACGATGACGATACTGAGGGTGATGGTGGTGGTGGTGGTGGTGATGATGATGCTGATGCTGATGATGGTGGTGGTGATGATGATGATGGTGGTGATGATGATGCTGATGATCATGCTGATGCTGCTGCTGATGATGATGATCATGATGACGATGATGATGAGGAGGAGGAGGAAGAGGAGGAGATGGAAGAGGAGGAGGAGGAGGAGGAGGAGGAGGAGGAGGAGGAGGAGGGAGGAGGAGGAGGATGAGAAGGAGGAGGAGGGGGAAGAAGAACGACGACGACGAGGAGATGGAGGAGGAGGAGGAGGAGGAGGAGGAGGAGGAGGAGGGGAGAAGGAGGAGGAGGAGGAGGAGGAGGAGGAGGAGGAGGAGGGGGAGGGGGAGGGGAGGGGAAGGAGGAGCAACAGCAGCAGCAGTAACAGCAGCAGCAGCAGCAGTGAATATTATGGCGATCAGACGGAGCAGAGGAGCACGAGCAGGGGGAGCGGGGCGGCAAGGTTGAAGCTCAGAGCTTTCCCGAAGTTCATCGGCAACTCTGGAGGGAGTGGATGGGGTGGAGGGCGGGGTGGACGGGGGGGTTCACCGAGCGCGTTCCGCTACTCGCAAAGTGTCTACTCGCAAACGTCCGAAACATATTTGTTTGCCTCGATGTAATGTATCGTGATCCCCCAAGGGGGATCCAGGCCATTTGCGAGTAGTTGGTTTGCGATCAGTGGAACGCGTTGTCCAGGGGTGGAGGGGGGGGTGGCGCGGGGGGTGGGGGCGGGGGGGGGGGGGTGGAGGGGCTGGAGGAGGGAGGGGGGGGAGGGAGGGGAGGGGGTGGGGAGGGGGAGGGGGGTGGGGTTGGGGGGGGAGGGGGGGCAGACCCCGGGGGAGAGGGGGCCTCTTGGCCCTCTTCGTGGGTGGTCGGCACCGCCCCCCTCCCCCACCTGGCGGCGCCTTCGGGGAGGGGGGCCCAGCGCCCACCCTCAAGGACCCCTCGCGCACCCCTGGCGGGTTCTGTTCATACCCTTTCGGTTGGTGAGCGATCTTGATTCATCCCTTGGCCGATCAGCGCGGGCCCTCGCCCCCCCCCCCCATGAGTAGATCCTGGCTGCTCTGGGCGCCTGTTTCGAGCAGGAGGAGCTTCCCCCGAAGGACGCACTGCTGCAAGCAGCCGCACCAAGTAAGCAGAGGCCCGGAGCCACACACACCCCCCTTCCCCCCCCCCTTCCCCCCCTTCTCCCCCCCCTTCCGCCCAATGTCGAAACGCCGAATAAAAAAACGCTGACTTAGTTCTAGCGGAGGGAGATGAGGAGGGCTACAGTCAACCCGCATAATCATAATAAGGATGGGCGTCCTTTTCAAGGGTACCCTTGCTTCCTTGCCTCCTCGGCCCATCCTTTGCCACCTTCGTTCGCCGCGCTCCGCTCGAAGAGCTTCGAAGTGGGCGTCAAGGGCCCTTGCATCCTTATCGCGCATCCTCATGATGCGGGCCGACTGTGGGGTTAAGTCGGGCGTGTCCCTCTACAGGAGGAATGCTCAAACATAGTCAGTCTGGGGACGACTTTCTCAGTATTTCTGACCATGTTTGAATGTTTGTTGAATCTTGTTTCCCTCCAGAATCTGCCAGCAGGGGGACACGCCCGACCTAACTGCGGGGGCCGACTGTGGGGTCAAGTCGGGCGTGTCCCTCTGCAGGAGGAATGTCCAACGATAGTCAGTCTGGGGGCGACCTTCTCGGCATTTCTGACCACTTTTGGTGGATATTTGTTGAACATTTTGTTCCCCCTCCAAAATCTGCCGGCAGGGGGACATGCCCGACCTAGCTGTAGGGGTCGAGGTCGCCCCCCCCGGTGGCCGAAGCGCCGCTGCCGCTCCCCCTCCTCCCGCGCGCCCAGGGGGCGTGGCGGGCGCAGTGCGAGTGGGCGGCCGCCAACGTCCCAGGCCGCCCCGCGCCTCCCCCCCCTCCCCTGCAGGAGGGGGGACCTCTGGCGCTCCGCCCTCTCCTCGACGCAGAACCAGGGCGCGTTTCGACTCCGATGGCTTCCGATTCGATTCGACTTCGATTCGATTTCGATGGCTTCCGATTCCGATTCGATTCGACCTTGGCTTCCGATTTTGGGTTCCGATTTCTTATTGGAGGCATACTAGCCTGCCGATTTCCGCCGATTCGACTTTTCCCGACTCGGCTGCCGATTTCTGCCGATCCGACTCATGTCGATTCCGATCCAACTTGTCGATTCGATGTTGGGCTCCCCTGCAGAACGGCGCCATGACCCGGCGATCGCAAGCACGGATCAGGGGGGCGTGGATCAGCGACGGGTCCCGTTCCCATGGGGAATCGCGGAGTCCCGCCGCCGAGCGAGGCGGCACCGGCCACATGTTGGGGAGGTGCCGAATCCATGGATGGCTAATCCATGCTTGCGCGCCCCCGAACAACGCCATAAGTCTCTGCTACGCTCGGCGACGTATGCTGTCATCGCGTGCTTAGTGTATGAACGGTTGGAGGCCTTCAGGTGGACGCACGCACTGCGTTTGTCCAGTATGGTCGAGGCTGCGAGCGAGGTTGAATGCTGTCCGAATCGTCCTCTCAGCTTTCCCACTTTCTTCTTCCAAAATTTGCGCTAGAAAAAATCTTTTGGCGCTCCGCGCGGACTTCTCGGATCTGCGCTGGGCCCCCCCAGCGGCGCCTCTGGCGCCGCCTTTGGCGCGCTCCGCGCGCCAGGGAGGGGGCCCAGCGCGGATCCAAGAACTCCGCGCGGAGCGCCAGAAATTTTTGCGTGGGCAGTTTTTTCTGCTTCTACCTCCCCCTCCCTCCATGAGCCACGGGCATCCCCGTGCGGCCCAGACAGCCCCCAGCTTGCCTCGGAGACCGGGCGAACCCGCGCTCGGCGGTCCGGTGCTCTCCGGTGCAGTTTTTTTGCGCCGCCTGCCTCTCGAGGCGCGCGCCGCGCTCGAGGTCGCCGCGGAGTCGCAGGGGCGGGGCAGGCAAGACCGAGCCTTCTGATGCTCCAACCTGCTTTCGCCTTGAGCACCAGAAGGAAGGTCGAGCGCCCAAAAAGGTAACGAAAAACTCAAGGGTTTTCACGTGTGTCGGGCCCTGGGAGACGCTCGCGCGACACCGTTTCGGCACCGTTTCGACACTCTTTTTGAGACTTGTCCGGGTGCGCGACAGTATTTCTGGGAGGTGGTCCTGAAGTAGGATGGGAGCAACATAAAACCGAGCCCTGCGGACCAGGGCGCGCAGGAGCGTGAGGCAAAGAGAAAGGGCGACACGTCTGGGCAGCCGCGAGCGGGGGCCTCTCCAGGGCGCGCCCTCGAGGTCGCCGCGGAGTCGCAGGGGCGGGGCAGGCGCGACCGAGCCTCGCGGACCAGGGTCCTCCTCCTCCTCCTCCTCCTCCTTCTCCAACAAGGGGGCGCAGGCGTGCGAGGCAGAGAGCGAGAGGGCGACACGTCTGGGCAGCCGCGGGTGCGGGCAGCGCGCGGGAGCGCAGGCGTCGAGGCAGGTCGAGAGGGGCCGCCGAGGCGAGCGGGCGGGAGGGGGGAGCAGGAGGGGGCCAGAGTTAGGTCGGGCGTGTCCCCCTACAGAGGGATCTTAGACGAAGAATGCAAGATACTCAAAAAATACTCCCAAGTAGTCAAAGAATAGTCGGGGGACTATTTTTCGAGTATTGTTTGACCTTTATGGAACGTTTTTGGGGTATTTTTTATTTTTCGTAGAAAGTCCCTCTGTAGGGGGCCAGAGTTGAGTCGGGCGTGTTCCTCTACAGGGGGAGCACTCAAGCATAGTCAAACAAATGGCCAGGGGACGATCTGTTGACTCTTTTTGAGCACTTTAGGGGGGTATATTTCGTGAGTGTTTTTTATCTTTAGGCCTAACTCCCCCCTGTAGGGGGACACGCCCGACGTAAGAGGCCAGAGGGCCGCGCGCGCACGAGCGTACACGAGCACGCGCGGGCAGGCACGCGCGGGCCCCGGGGACCCTGGATCTGCCCTCCGGGCTCCCCCTCTTTCCCCACTCCCTGCCCCTGCGCGTGCCCCCTCGAGGCCCCTCTGCAGACAGGGGCGCCCTCGAGGGCGGGAAGCCCTGGATCTGCCCTCCGGGCTCCCCCTCTTTCCCCACTCCCTGCCCCTGCGTGTGCCCCCCTCGAGGCCCCTCTGCAGACAGGGGCGCCCTCGAGGGCGGGAAGCCCTGGATCTGCCCTCCGGGCTCCCGATCTTTCCCCACCCCCTGCGTGTGCCCCCCTCGAGGCCCCTCTGTGGACAAGGGCGCCCTCGAGGGCGCGAAGTTGTGCGCGCTTCGCGCTTCGCGCTTTGCGGCTCGGCTCCGATTCCTCCTCGTCCTCCTCTTCTCCCCTGGGAGGCGGCGCGAGAGCGCGAAGTTATTCGCATTTCGTGCTTCGCGCAGCGCGAAGCGCGAAGTTGGGAGCCCTTCATCTTCCATCCGAGCTCCCCCTCTTTCCCCACCTTGCCCCTGCGTGTGCCCCCTCGAGGCCCCTCTGTAGACTTGAGTCGGGCATGTCCCTCTACAGGAGGAAGGTTCAAAACTAATCCAAAAATAGTGCGGGGAGGTTTTTTTGAGTATTTTGTCTTGTGCAAAAAGAAAACGTCCAAACTCCGCCTGCAGGAGGACATGCCCGACCTAACTGTAGATATTTTGGTACAGGCAGGATGACGAATCGGCAAGGGGCATGCGTGGAGACGGGCGCGCGCAGCGGGAGCTCGATCGACCAATGGGATCCGTCCGCGGCCGGCTCTGGGCTGCTAGCCCGCCCCGTCTCGCTGTGCTCCCGGGCCTCTTTGGTCCTTTTCGTGGTGATGGTCATTGACTGGATCGCCTACAGCGCGACATACATCAGCGTCCCCACGATGATCCTGATGGAGAAGTGCGAGGACCTTGGCCTCGCCCCGGGGGATGAGTGCAATTCATCGAAGGAGGCCCAGGCGCAGCAAGCGGCCTTCATGGCCATGTTTTCCCTCTGCACTGGTGCCCCCTCCGTCGCCGTGTGCTCGCTGCTGTCGCACCTCTCTGATGTCATCGGCAGGAAGCCCATGTTTCTGTTGGGAAATCTCCAGGGGGTCCTCATGTACGGTGTGCTACTGATTCGAGGAGCAAGGGGCGCTACGACACTCATTATGATTACCGTCATCAACCTGCTTGGAGGCATCTACGTCACCGATGGAGCTATCTTCGCCTCCGTCGCCGACCTGACCGCGAACAGCAGTGGGCACGACCGTGTTCGCCTCATGAGCATCATCGAGGGGGCGCAGTGGTTCGGCCAGATCCTCGGCCCACTTATTGGGGGCCATGTGTCAACGCTCGTGTCCCCTCAGACGTCTTTTGTCGTTCCGACTACTCTTTACGGCGTCGGCTTGCTGCTCAGCTTGGTGGCATACCCCGAAACGCTGTCCCACGAACGTCGCGCGACGTTTGATTTGCAAAAGTCGCATCCGTTTGGAGTTGTCTCCATTGCCAGTGGGTACCGACGGTCGCTGACTCTTGCATCAGGCTTACTGTTCGCACAGTGGGGCCTCGGCACAGGTGTGGCAACGTGGCCAATGTTCACGAAGCAAAGCTTTGACTGGAAAAACGACCAGATCGGCAACATGGAGGCGCTGTACTTCACAGCGAATGCAATCGGACTGTTTTTGCTGCTGCCCGGGATTACCAATCGCGCCACACCGAAGGTTGTGATCGCAGCCTCAGCCGCGTGCTCCATTCTGATGTGGGGATGTCATGTCTTCGTCACCGCAGGCTGGATGATGTTTCCCCTCGTGTGCCTCGGCACGTTCTCCGCAATGCTGTTCCCGCTCATTCGCGCCGGCATCGCTACCGACTTCGGCCCGCAGATGTATGGAGCCGCGCTCGGCGTCGCGGCACTGGTGCAGCAGACCGCGAAGGTCGGAGTGCTCCCCGCGGTTGGCCTTGCGTGGCATGCAATCCTAGGGGAACGAACAATGACAGAAACATGGAAACTCGGAGGTCCTCGCGGATTTCTCGGATCGGCGCTGGATCCCCCCTCCCTGGCGCGCGGAGCGCGCCAGGGGCGGCGCCGGAGGCGCCGCCAGGGGGGTCCAGCGCGGATCCGAGAAATCCGCGCGGACCTCCGAGTTTTGATGTTTCTGGCATTGTTCGTTCCCCTCAATCCAGGACAGCGGACTGCCAGACTACACGGCGTACGTCATCGTCACCGCGGAGTACGCCGTGGCGTTCCTCATTTTCCTCTGCGTGCCCATCCCCGCCTCCGAGGGCGCGGGCTTCCTCCGGAGGGTCTCCTCCGGTGCGGCAGTGGATTCGGTGCCGGTGGCTTCTTCGGAAGTGGACTTGGTCGGTGTTGAGTCTTTCCCGTCGTCGCGCAGGGGGTCCCAGGCGGCTGCGGCAGAATCAGACAGGCCGCACTCCTTCCCGCAGACGAGGTCGTAGCGCTTCCAGAAGAAAGCGTGCGAGTCATCAGTCCAATGCATCATTCAGAGCCCCGAATCATCAGGGGTAACTCGGGTCAGGGCTAACTCGGGTTCTTTTTTCGGGAATCCGAACCCGACTTACCCCGGACCCGAGTTACCCCGGATAATTCGGGCGTCCAGAGCCCCACATCATCAGGGGTAACTCGGGTCAGGGCTAACTCGGGTTCCTTTTTCGGGAATCCAAACCCGAGTTACCCCGGACCCGAGTTACCCTGGATAGTTCGGGCGCCCAAATCATGCTGTCGACAGGAGAAGAGTGTACCTGGCGCGACACAACACAAGAGGCGACGTTCGTCCGGAGCGAGGCTGCGCAAGGCGCGGCAGTGCAGCGCAGCAGATTCATTTCAAAGCATGGCAGTGCAGTGCAGAAGAAGAAGAAGACAGCTCAAAACTCGGCCTATTTTTATAGAAAAAACAGTGAATGCAATGCAACGCGTTGTAAAGTAATGCTAACAATTGCAAGCCATCCAACGCAATGCACACAACAAAGGCATTGACTTGCATGCACAGCAATTCAAGGCAATGCAGCGTAACGTAGAGCAACGCATAACAACCCAAAGCAATGCACATGAACGCAAATCAATGCAAACAGCTGAACATCAAAGTGCCCCCGAGCAACCTTTCAGGACCCTCGAGCACCCCCCGCGCATTCCCCAAGCAATCTTCGCGCAATTCTCGAGCACCCCCAAGGACCTAGCGGCGAGGTCCGCAATCGACAGCGATCCTTCTTGCACAGAGGAGGGACATCGGAAAGCGGTCGATCGCTGCCAGACCGCGTACCTGCACATGTTGGGTCAACCAGTGCGCGCAAGTTACTATGATTCTTGACGGCTCGGGTCAGCCCCCGCTGCATGTCTACGTTTTGGATTCCAGTCCTTCTAGCACACCACCCTTCGTTTCCACTTGCAGCTCGCACCACCCTTCTTTTGCGACGTCTCTTACACTGAGCCTTCGACATTGCTCGATCGCAATACGCACTTCCATCTGCTGCCCGCGCTTGAGCACCCTCTGCGCCGCCGACAACACATCACCAGCCCGTCCAGAATCGTAGGTGGATAGACCTCCTACCCTGACACGTCGATTCAGGAATTGGCCGTTTTCGGTTCGCGAGAGGGCGTCGCGGCCGTCATTTTTGCGGGTCCAGGTCCGTCGGTTTCGGTCCCAGGCCGTTTTCACGAAGGGGAGGTTTACTAAAGGGAGGTTTGCCCACCGCCGACAGAAGTGGTAACCAGGCGAGTTTTTTTGACCAGGGAAGTGTAGGAGAAGCATTGAAGCAAAGAGGGGGGCCCGCCGTCAAGCCGAAACTTGAGATATCTTGTGAGCAGACCCAGGGATCTACCACGAATGCCTTCGTTGGGCTTTCGGTATGGGAGCCTCCTGGCATCTCACTTGGGCCATCTTGGGGCCATTTTGTCTTGGGGCCCTCTTGGGGCCCTCTTGGGGCCTTCTTGGAGATTACGGGTCAAGAAAAGGGGCGGCGCAAATTAGCGTCTCCCCGTTGGAGCCCTCACATCGCCTCCTGGGGCCCTCTTGGGGCGCTCTTGGGCGCTGTTGTGACCGTCTTGGAGCCTTCTTGGGCCCCTCTTGGGGTTTCCTTGGGCCATCTTCGAGCGTTCCCGAGGCCTCAGAACCGCATCGGAAACGAGCAAGCGATACGGCAACTCACCTCGATTGTTTTTTGTTGGCGCTGGGGAAAGTCACGCTCTCGGGGGCGTCTTCGGGACGCTCCGAGGCCATGAATCCGTCTTGGGGCGGTCTTAGGGTGTTTTGGAGGCATGCTGGAGGCCATCCGGAACCATCCTGAGCTACCTTGTGCCGTCTTGGAGGTCATCTTGGGCTACCTTGGAGGCCATCTTGGAGCCATCCTGGAGGCCATCTTGGAGGCCATCTTGGAGGCCATCCTGGAGGCCATCCTGGAGGCCGTCTCGGGGGCCATCTCGGAGGCCATCTTGGGGGCCACCTCGGGCTATCGGGAGCCATCTCGGGTCATTTGAGGCGCCCCGACCCCTCGCGACACCGCCCCCTCCAGACCCAGAGGGGGGTCGGGGGAGAGGTCCAGCTACTTACCTCCTCCGAGGGACGACCGTCTCGCTCACTCCCATCCCGCCCTCCCTCCACAGAAGAGGCACCTTAGTCACGGTATGAGCAGGGGCCGTCATCGACAAATATGGAGAACCACTGCAGACGCCAGGCATGTGCGCGAGGTGCGCCGCGCGTGCCAGTGCCGGGGCACCCCAGTCATCTGCAGCAACGTTATCGCGGGGTTCCCGCCCGCGCATGGTCCAAGATTTTGCGACCACGTGCGCTTTGCATTCACTTTCGGCAGGCAACGTCCAGAGCGGTCGCAACGTGAACTTCATACAGTTTTTTTGCGGGGATGGTGTGGGGGGGGTCGGCACTGGCCCGGGTTACATAGGGGCGGGTACAGTGGGGAGGGGGTGCATACTCATCAGGAGCAGTGATGAACCCCTCCCCGAGCGGGAAGCGGGAATGGGGTTTCCCGGTCTGATTAAACACACATCCTTGGTGCTAGACGTGTCCCTCGGCTGCGCGCCACCCGCTGCTAGACAAGGCCCCATCCCCACGCTGATCTTAATTCGCATCCTTGGTACAAGACGTGCCCCTTTGCTGTGCACCGCCCGCTGCTATGCGAGGGCTCTCCTCAAGTGATTCTAACAACGTCCTTGATACTAGACGTGCCCCTCTGCCGTGCAGCACCCGCTGCCGGACGAGGTCCCTCCCCGAGCGTCCTCGAGGTGTTCGGAGGCTCCCAGAGGCGTCGAGATGTTTGGAGGGTCCGACGGTGCAACCCGATGTTTTTTTGGGGGGTTCAGGGGGAAAACCCACCTAAATGATTAACGCAAACGCCCTGAGAGTGTTTTCGGGGGGAATCGGGGGAGGGAACACTGGACCGCCTGTAGGAGGCGCGAGTTCGCCAGCGCCGTGTGCGGACAAGGGTGTAAGTGTTTCAGGTCTTTTGTTCTCCAAGGAGAAGGGATTTTTCTAGACGAGCGGTTCATCTACGTAATCGGATGTTTCTCAAGGGTGCGATGTGCTTTGAACGTAGTTCTGGCGAACCACCTCATCCACCAGACTTGCCTATTTTGCTGGTTCGCCCTGCAATTTGGCGTGCTCTCCGTAGTTCAGAACCGACACTTGCGTCTCCTCTGGCACGTCCCGAAATTCAGAAAGCTCCTCGCGAGGCCAGATGCTTCTTATCATGCCTTGCATATGTGTGGCAATAGCGCTAGATGGATGAAAGCAACATCGGGGATGTCCTTCGGAATTTTCCAGAGACCTTCAACCATTCGTGCGGGTCTCGCCCTCCGGCGCTATGCCACTGCAGGCAGCATTCTCGCAGTGTGTTCTTTGGTGCAGACGCGTCTCGCATCGAATGGGCCAGGCGGGCAGCAGCGTATCCCAAGGCATTGGCCACGAGGTTGGCCACCACTGTTCCGTGCCCCAACTTTCCGGGCAGATCTTGGAAACGACGGGGTCTTTTTGGGCTCGCGGTCGGGTTGTGTTCGCTCGTGAGTTCGACGTGCTGGAAGAGGAGGAGGAGGAGGAGGAGGAGGAGGAGGAGGGGGAGGAGGAGGAGGAGGTCGACGTGGTGGTTTACACGATCCCCTTCTGGTTCTCCGGCCCTCCCACCCTGCACCACTTGGATACTCTTGCGTACACGCTGGTCGTTGAGAGTAGGTACTTTTGGATTCCCAGATCCCAATCTGCTTCAAGCGCCTTCCTACTTCAAGAATCGACACGCTTTTGCTGCGTTTTGTTGTTCTCTGGGGGGACGAGGGGGGTTCGAGGGGGAACACCCCACGAACGCTCAGTGAAGGGGGTAGGTTTGTTTGTTTATATCTATATACACATACATACACACATACATGCATATACACATATGTATATATACAATGGGTTTCTGAAACTTGCGTTTTTGAAATCATGGCAAGGGGAATTCTCCTTAACAGGAGTATGGTATTTCTTTCTAGTCATGGCGTCGTATTTCTTCCAATTTCGTATTGTTCGGATTTTTTTGAGGCGGTGCCCCCCCTAGAAAAGAACAGCCAGAACCTCCCAAGGCCCCCTTCCCTAGTTCCACCCCACCCCCCCAAAACCCCTCCCAAAACTTTCTCCTGAGGGGGGTCTGGGTTTTTATGTCTTCAACGGGGGTCCCCAGAAACGTCCACACCCTTCTCGCAGGAAGCGTCCCCACTGAATGACGAGTGACCCGGTGGGTCTGCCACTCAGCCGCGACCCCTCTTTCTTGGCATCGCTCGGACGTGTGCACTTTTTCTCTCGGCGGGGATTATTAAGGAGCATCCTGGATTATCCTGCAAAAAAACACACGCACGAAACCGACAAAAACACAGGGAGGGGACGTCCGAGCGATGGCCAGTTTTGTAAGTGGTCCAACCGTAACCCATTTAGCAGAAACGCAGAAAAAAGAGTAGGATGATACGGTTCAAGGACGTGTCCAGCGATCGCCCTGATGTGACACCGATTTGCCCTGCTATCCTCGTGCAAGTTGTGCGCAAGTTCAAGTTGTGGTTGTAGAATTTGCGGGGCGTCATGGGCGAGAGTACCATTTTGAAGAGGAGCCGGCCTGCAACTGTGTAACTGTTGAGCAATTCGGAATTCCAGGTCGTAGAAACGGAGGGGGTTTCAAGCGAGAGCCGCGTTAAACCAACGACCAGCCTGCAATTTTGCAGTTGTTGGAAGCTCTTGGAACGACTGTGCGCGGTGCCATTGCGAGAGCCGCATTTTCAAAACCACCGGCCCTCCATCCTTGTAGCTCTTCGCTGCAAATTGTGAAAACAATGTGCGCGGCGCCAACGCGAGCGCCACGTTCGAGAAAACAACTGCCGTCCATCCTTGTATCTGCTGGAAGTTTTTCGAAAGGAGTGTACGCGACTCTAGCGCGGAGAGCCGCATTTCGGAAACCACTGGCCGTTCATCCGTGTCCTTGCTGCAAGCTTGCAAAACGTAGGCGCGCGGCGCCAAGGCGAAAGAGCCGCATGGTGGAGAGCACCGGTCCGCCCTCCGTGTTGGGGAAGGCTCGATCGAAAGGCCTGGCCTGGCCTGCGGGCCCGTTGGGTGGTGCGAGCTGGGGGGAATCATCTACGAGGAGGAATGCAGGAGGAAGATGGGGAGGGCGTGGTGGATGTGGAGAGGAAAGGGCCGAGTCCGGAGAGGAACGAGCACGACGAGGATGCAGGAGTAGGACGCGTATGGGGGGAGAGTGAAGCAGGAGGGCAGTGTGGAGAAAGAGCGTGATGACGATGAAGATGTTCATGCTGATGTTGATGTTGATGATGATGATCGTCATCATGATGATCAGGATGATCGTGATGATGGTGATGATCTACGACGAGATGATGGTGCTGCTGCTTCTGATGATGAGGATCACGACGATTATGATGATGCTGCTGATGATGATGCTGACGTTGATGATGATGATGATGATGATGATGATGATGATGATGATGATGATTATGATGAGATTGATGATGATAGCGATGAGGATTATGAGGATAATGAGGAGGGTGATGCTGATGCGATGACGATAGGACGATGATGATGCTGATGCTGCTGATGATGCTGATTATGCTGCTGATGATGATGATGATGATGATGATGCCGATGATGATGATGATGATGATGATGATGATGATGATGATGATGATGCTGATGGTAATGGTCATGCTGATGTTGCTGATGATGCGTATGGTAATGATGATATTGCTGCTGATGATGCTGATGACGGTGGTGGTGGTGGTGATGGTGATGATGATGACGATTCTGATTATGATGGTGATGATGCTGTTGTTGACAATGATGATGATGGCGACGATGATGATGCTGATGATGATGCTGGTGATGCCAGTGATGGTGATGATTGTGATGAAGGTGATGATGATGACGATGATGATGATGATGACGATGATGATGATGATGATGAGGATGATGATGATGATGATGATGATGGTAATGGTGATGATGGTGATGATGATGCTGATGTTCATGCTGATGATGATGATGCTGCTGTTGATGATGATGGTGGTGGTGGTGATGATGCTGCTGTTGATGATGATGCTGATGCTGAGGATGATCACGCTGATGATCATGCTGATGCTGCTGCTGCTGATGACGATGATGACAACGACGATGATGATGATGATGATGATGATGATGATGA